CACATTATACTCGTGCTACATCCTATATCTCTTAGCATCTACCATGCATTCTCTACGTCTAGATTCTATCTTTGGAGTAGGACGCGTATAGAGACTTAACGTGGTGGTCAGTGTAGTCGAGTGGCCGCGCAAGGCGGAAAAAGTGAGCGCAAAGAGTGCCATTTGACGCTTGTATCAGTGATAATAACAACAATAGTCAAGTGAATCATCTCATCATCAAACATGGAAAAAGACATGTATCAACAGCTATAGATCTGTGAATGATATTATGTATTGCTTCAGCTTTTCTCTGAATATTGCATTCAAATGAAGTCAATGGAAAACAGAGATCTTGCTATATATCTGAAAGAATAACATATGATGCAGTCTCTTCAGCTCTCATAATTTCAACAAATGACTCATACACTTGTTCACATGCACAACTGTTGTGTTATAGTAGACTTAGTAGCAGAGATTGCTAGAAAGAATTTCATTCTCAACACTGATCTCTCTGTTAAATTCTGTTACTTCATCAAGTTCTCTATTCTACTTCTTATACTGACATGAAGCACACTGATGATCATGATTACTGAATTTGACCTGTTTAGAGATCAACTGCCTGGGCCTGCCTGCACAGCCTGGCCATGACAGGAGATTCTCTCTGCTACTAAGAATGTTTGGCTTGGTTTAATCATTGAAAAGTGTTGAGCTAAAGGCACATTTCAGAATGCAAGAAGTCTACTGACTGCACTAGAGTTAGTCACTCTAGATTGTTCACTCAAACATAGAAAGAAAATACATGAACATTTAGAATCTCATGACAATGTGTTTTAGATATTCCTTCATCTCTGGCTTTCACAGGAAGTACTCTTGACAAATGTTTATCATAGAAGAAGTTAAGTCAGACTCAGCAACTGAACTGGGCGCGGGATGCAGCAGCAGCTGTCTCATATGTGCATCAAAGTGTGTCCTGATCAGTGATTTTGTCATATGAAGTTTCTTAATTATGAATAAGTAAACACTCAAATTATTTCACTTTGCAAACTCTCACATTGTTTCTAAATCTCTAAATATTGATAAAATCAGTGAGGTCAGTCTATCAGTCAAGTATGATATAGCCTGTTTCAGTTCCCTCATCTACAACATTGTTACAGGTAGAAAGTTTGAAGTTCTCATCTGTCAACTATTCAATTCCAGTGTACAGAGTTGTGATGAGTATGCTGCAGCTTCTGAAGTTGGGGACTACACAATTCCAAGATAAATGGATAAAGACATACATGAGAAGCTTCCCTACACAGCGGGTGTATTCATGGGCAATGTAATCTGGAACTGTTGGCATCGGGGCGGGTATCAGAGGATGCAAGATGTCTGCAGCGCGCTCTCGGAGCTCTCGGAGCGCCATCTCTCGGGTTTAGTCTTAAGCAGGAAGCGACTCCAGATACCGCTCTTTCTATGTTGACGGTGAAGAACTGGTTCCACCCTCATCTGTTTCATCTTTGTTTCATCCCCGTGGTTGTGGTTGCAGCTGTCTCGCTGGTATATCTTACCCTCCACCAAGATTTCTACAAAGCGCCTAGGCCTGACTTATAAGACGCTGGACAGAGATTTGAGATACAAGGTAGAAAGGAGTCTAGTCGGTTGTATTGTATATACTATTGACTAATCATACAATGCCCAAGAGATCCTAGAGAAAAAAATCTTTCTCCTGCTTCGAGAGAAATTGTCTACCATCATCATCACGTCTTGCTATCAGAAGAAAAGAATCGCTGCACGTTGAAGCGATTTTTAGGTCTGTCTCAGAAGATGAGACATCAAGAGGAGTAAGGTCGAGGATACTTCAAGAAGTGAATAGAAAGAATGTAACTTGAAATGAGAACTTGAGGAGCAGTGCAAAGAATGACTTAGTTCTGATGAGACTCATATCAAGAAAGGTATGAGATCAGATCAAATGAGATCATATATGAAATTCATGATCTCAGCAGCCAGTCTAATAGTATCTCAATAAAAAATTATTATATTTAAGAATTTTAATCAGTTATATAGTAGGAATCAGTGATCACTGAAGCTATCAGATCACTGATAAAATGACAGTTAATAAACTTTTTGTGTAAGGTAGTTAGTTAACTAACTACTGCTCTCTTGATTGAGTTTAGCGCAGAACATGGCAACCAAACCACGATTTCTAACCTCATCTCTTTCAACAACAACAACAACTCTATCTTGAAATAAGATTCTTGATTAAAAAAAAACTTTCTACTTTTTAACCTCACAAGTGATGTTGGTTTTTTCTTCTAAGTTAGGTTACGCGAGCCGCTGTGCGACTCAGCGTTTTCTCAATATGATGTTGGTCAGGAACCTACAGTAGAGCAAAGTTATCAATCATGTCATAGATGAGTAGTGAGTCTTCTCTCTCTCTCTCTTTCTTTGTGTGTGTGTCTATCTATCTATATAACTGGACTTGGTTATCTTCTCTTTTATCTATTCTATCCAACTCCTCAACACTGCATCCATATCTTTTTACTGTCTGTGTCGGGGACCTTGCAATACATAACACTCATCATACCCGCAACCAGTTCATATCTTCCCAACATCAGCGGGATGGGGCTTAGAGAAAAAAAGCTCAGCTCATCTTCCCGGCTAGGGCTTCGCGTGATTTATCAACGGACCCTCATCCCTCCAGCAGTGCGGAGTATTCGCAAACACTACAGAAAATTTGTGAACTGGTTGAAAAAGGCAGCCCTCCCACGCTCACATGAAGAAGCAGGAAACCAAGGTCAACGCCAAATTTCTTGCCAGGAGCCAAAGACCCCACCTTTATTGAGCCTCCCACTCGAACTCCTCTTCAGTATCAACGACCTCCTGTCTTTGGAATCGCAAGTCTGCCTCGCTCTCACCTGCAAGACACTTCTCGGGCTTAACAAACATGCCCTTGCCGCTCCTCAATTCCGGTTCTTGCCTAGCAACGTCTACGATCCTGAAGTTTTGAAAAACCGCGATAATTTCAACACAGAGAGATGGCAGTTGCTTCTCCTGTTAGAGAATGACAAATGGCATTGCTGTTCCACATGTCTTAAATTGCATCCAACCAGGCAGTTTTCTAGCTGGGGAATTCTAGCTGGAGCCACGCACAGAGTGTGTACTCTAGGGAAAGTTGGTATTGTTAACCTTTGCCCTTGCGTGAATCTGACTTTCCGGGATAAAGACAGATTAATTGAGCTGCTGAAGGCTGAGAATACGCTCGATTGCTCATATCTATTGCATACGTGTTACTTAAGTTTTGGGTTGACAGACGTCGTTACAAAAATTTCTGCGCGTATCAATGAAGAGGGTGAATTATTCATTTGCACACAATACGCGGTGTTTGCACGTGGGTTCTGGCTAGGCAAATCCATTAAGCCTCTACGCCGGGTTTTCTGCCCCCACTTATCTTTCTTTGATTACCTGCTACATTTTAGGTGCTCAAGAAGCGAACTCGATCTACCGGCCAGAATGTTATGGAGGGATGATGGCCCACTGAAGATCCCATCTGAGGCATTTCAAAGAGGGCTGTATTGTCGGTATTGTGATACCACAATCTATGTCATTAAGTCCAATCGCGAAATCCCAGGGTATCACCGGAATTTGTTTTTTGAAGTTTTGACAGTCAGGAACCTGGGACAAGGTACATGTGCCGATGCAACCTGGCGGTATCAAACTGTATATCCATCCTCCTGGAGTGTGTTTAAGCATCGAAACTCCTTGCGTGAATCTAGGGATTCGCGGAAACATAATCCTTGGGATCCTGCCTTTTGTTTCCGCCGGTTTCCCACCTTAACGGAGAACAAATCCCATCGCTGGCCCGCAGCTCTGGAAAATCCACTCACGTCCCACGAAATTCCTCCCGAAACCGAACATCTTTATGAGTCAGACTTCAATATCGATGACAGTTATGGTTTCATTGTCAATCGGCAGACTATTAATCGGCGCAGGTAGGGAGCTCCCACCGCAGCGGCCGCCCCCTAATCTCCACCAACTACACCCCCAGACCTGACGCTTGCACTTATCTGCATATATTTTGTCTGTTCAGGATATTCTCCTACTTCTACATCTGGGACTATTGCATTATTTCTAATGCAGTTGAATGAAAGATTCGTGGTATAGAAAGTCATCCCCACTCCCTACATAAGAACGTAATTAAGACCATAGTAAATAAATGGAAAACGGGAATAAAGAAGACGAGTCAAACTTTGCGACGTCGTAACTGGCTGAACCCCGAAATGTAATTTGTTTTTTCAATTTATATATATATTTATATATTTCTTCTCGTTTTTTTTTGTTTTCCACTTTCGCTTCACACACACACAAGACTCAAACCCGAAAATTTGAAAAGAGGGGGGGGGGGGGGGGGGGGGGGGGGGAAAAAAAGGGGGGGAAGGGGGGGGAAAATCCAAAAAAAAAAAAAAAAAAAAAAGGGCCGGGCCGGGCCGGGCCGGGCAAGGGAAGCAAGCTCCCGACGCATGGATATTGGGATATGGATATATATATTTGTCAAGTAACGAACGACCTCTCCTCTTCCCGCTCCGCCACTAACCCTCAAATAAGAAATAAAACAAAAGGCGGGTGCTTTAATTAATGAGACAAAAACATAATCAAATTCAAAAAAAAAGGGAACCTGGTTTGTGGTGTTTTTTTTTTTTTTTTTTTTTTTTTTTTTTTTCCCTTCCCCCGGTTATGAAGTGCGGAGTGAGGGGGAAAAAGGGGAGGGGAGGAAGGGAAGGCAAGGCAAGGTGTCCAATCATCATCCATAAAACAAAGTGTTTTTGGGTATTAACAAATAATTCAGTTCGCAGGGAAACGGAATCAAATAGGGGGGGGAAGAAGGGTTATAATATCGTTGAGAATAAAGTGGTGAAGCAAAGAAGTACAGCGTAAGAAAGTAAGAAGAGGTTTAGAAGAAGTAAGTGGCCCCCCCGGCTTTTTATTTTGCCGCGGATAAATAAACGTGAGAATTAAATAAAGGCGACCAGGTCTTTAAGAAAGAAAGCAAAAAGGGGGATGTGGGGAGTGTTGATGGGGAAGCGAAACGGGGGAAATGGGTGACGGAGGCTGCTATTTCGCAGTGAAAGAAGGATAAATAAAAGCGGTGGCGTGGCAGTTCAGATGCATTGATTGCGCTGGCGCGTTCGTGCGCATAGAATTTTGAAAAGGGCTGACTGATTTGTCCGTCCGTCGCATGCGACTTTGGATTTTTCGATTCCAAGTACGGAGGCAGGCCCGTGGAAGTTCAAACGGGGTATACTTGGGGAATCAAAAGCTTAAAAGCTAAAAATATGTATTGGGCAAAGAGCACACAGGACGAAATGTGAAGATATATGTATGTATATGGATTTTTGCTCGTTGGGGGGGGCCTTTCACATATACAGTACCTGACAACAACGATATAGTGAGAAAAATAAATAAAATAAGGGCGGGTATCTCTCGAAGAAGAAGAAAAGAAAAAGAAAAATAACATCCATATCGTATACAAGAGAAGAAGAAATCAGCAGTTCCACCAAAAACTCTCAAGCTTCAATCGATCAAATCAAATCAGTCAGTCAATCCATCAATCGTGTTTGTCTCATCTTTTTGCTTGTCCTGAAAAGCCAATCGCATTCCCATCTCCCCTTGACTTCTGCACTCCCCACTTCTACAGCTCATTTTCCCGAGCTAGGATTTTTTTTTCTTTTTTTCTTTTCTTTTCTTTCAAGAGATCTAAAGAGCTACGCCCAGGACCACGGCGAGACCTCCAGCCATCAGCATTGGCAGCGCGGTGGGCGCGGCAACGGCAAAGTTTGGCGTCGAGGAGTCGGAGACATCTGAGGTGGTGGCCGCTGGCGTGGGTGTAGGTGTGATGGTAGAATCCGCGGTGGTGGAAGTGCCGACGGAGCGGATGATGGTCACAGTCACAGTGTTGGTGATCGTGGTGGTTCTTGTGGAGGTGACCATGTCATCTTGGGCGGCTACGAGCTGGGTCGCGAGCAGGAGGAGCAGCGTGGAGAAGAAGGTGAGGATATTCATTTTTGGGGTTTGGTTGGGGCTTTGGCTTCTTGCAGCGATTGCAATAGTGGAAATATATGGAGGTAGGATATATGCGACGGGGTGGTCTTGGTTGTTTTGTTGTTTCTATGCAAGAGGGAAGGGAAGATCGATCTACAGATATCGATGTTCGGTATGCGCCTTGCGACGATCTTGGATGTCTTATGGTGGACGGGAGGTCGCTAAGAGAGTAAGTAGCTTTGCGAGCGCACGGGAGACTGGCGGTTTAATCGGAGAAAAGGTGGTTCGTTTTTTTGCGAGAGATAACTGTCTGGAGCTGGAGTGATATAACTATCTAGCTGGGCGCGAAAGGAGGGAAGCGGGCAAGATGACCAGGAGAGTCAGAAAAAGAGCGAGCGTAGTAGAGGACTTTTCAAACAAGACGGGCACGAAGGCGTTAAGGAGCGTGGATGGCTTTGGAAAGAGGCCGAGGAGTGAAAAAAAAAAAAGAGCGTTATATGTGAGTGGACGAGGCGAAAGAAAGAAAGAGAAAGGGGAGAGAGAAAGGGGAGAGAAAGGGAAGAAAGGGACAAGCCGTGTATATCTTAAAAAGAGGATTCTGACTCCCGGACGGTACCTGGACCGTGCCTGGCCCGTGGGCGGCGGTGGGCGGGGGGGAAGCCTAAGCCTAAGCCTAAGCCTAAGCCTACCAGGTACACCCTAACCTAGGGACAGGGACTACTACCTACCTATGCAGTATGCAGTAGGTACGTACCGTACCGTAACCACCAAACCAAGGCAGGCAACCTTGGTTACCAACAACTTACTTGTGACAACCACCAACCACAACCAAGCAAAAGTTACGAACAAACCTCCACCAATTCTCGCGCTAACAGCATTAATAAAGGTTAACAAACAATTTAATTTAACTCTCTTCTCCGCCTGGCCCACCGCTAACTTAGCTCGCATCCTCTGCAACCCAGGGAATGATGGAATGAACTTGCTTATTATTATTATTATTCTTCTTCTTCTTCCAAGTTACCAGAGTTCTCGCATTATTATTATTATTACCCCCGTAACTAAGTTACGTACCGCATCCGGATTTCTTTTAACAAACACCAGGCACATGTACTACTGTACTGAACATCCCAAACTTTAAAAGGCTGGGTGGAGGTTAAGTTAATTATCAGCTAGCAGGGCAACATGAATGACCGCATCACAGAGTCCAGCGCATGCTTCCATTGGATGCCGTTCTTCTGAGTTATTATTATTGCCCTCTTGCTGGGTCCACGTTGGTGGCCCACGACAACACAGCAAGCATACATACTGCGTACTCCGTACAGCGTACTGTACTGTGCGTACATCCATGTAATCGGAGGGAAGAAAAATCGCCCTTCAATTACGGCTGTGGTTGGGATCCTTTTGCGCTGACATTTTTGTGCCCCATTTTTATCTCTTTTATTACCTCCAGTTAATAATAATAAAGTCTCCAGACCATAATCATAATATTATCATCATCCTAGTCCCGATCTCATCTCGTACCGCCAAAATCCGCGCTCCACTTCTCCTCGGCCGGCCAGACAAACTGACAGCTCAGCTTGGTTATAAACTTATATTAACGACGTCAGGGTCAGCCTGGGAAACCTTCAACAGACTTATATTACGCTGTACAGCGAACAGTTCGCATCTGTGTATATAAACTCTTCGAATAATTTCACCAGAACCTCGGCCTCCCTTGCGCCCGCCCTTGGTGTTTTATTCCAGGCTAATAATAAGTAATCAGTATTACAGGCGCTTGAAATCGAGATACGGTTCAGAGAATCTGAGCTTTTTCAGAGCTGCCAATCATCAAACAGATGCTTTTGTGCTCAACAAGTCGTTGGGCTTGTACGGAGTATTTTATCTATCTTCATGCGAGTGCTAGGCCGCCATCACCGCCATTTTTCTTTTTTTGAGGCCGCCCCGTAGAGTGTAGATCGTGATCACCACAGGAGAGCGCGAAGATGGATGGGAGAGGCATGCAGAAGAATGGGGAAACAACAAAACATTTTATCGCTCGCTCGCTCACAAGAAACAAAGAAGAACCAACAAAACTTTTAACCTTCAAAAGTTGTTAACATTATTATTATTATTATTATTATTGTTATTGTTATTATTGTTGTTAACTATGCACCATGACATGACAACACTTGCTCCCGCCAACCAACTTCCAAAAAATAATAATAATACCCTCTTGCGCTGTGCCCATCGGCCTGCGTGATGTCCGTTTTCCCACGGCTGCCCCTTTCTCGGACCCGATCCGATCCACGTTACACGAGGTAATCAATAATAATCAACAAAAGGAATAATCATTCCCACCTGCAAAATACTTCTCCTTGGTCTCTCTCCTGGTTGGTTCGTGCCTTGGCATGACAAAAGAAAAGAAAATGAGCCCGCTTGTGGACGAGGCGCTAGGTACGGAGTACAGTACAGTGCCAAAAGGTTTTGATTTGCCTGGAGGGTGAAATGGGCAAATGAGCTGCTCAAAAGAGGATATTTGATCATCATTATTATCAGTCCACTTTGGGGGGGGGTGAAGAAAAGAACCTTGGAAAGGCCTTCACATGCTGTTGTCCAATTGGTGCAGCAAGATCTTTCATTTCTGTTCATTTTTTTATTTTTTATCGATTTTTAACAATTATTGCGTTGTTGACCAAGAGCATTTCCAACGCTGATCTTAACAACACTGGATTATTTTCTTGTCTGGCCAGCAGCCCCTTGTGAAAATCATGAATGTTCTGTGTTACAGCCGATCCTGGGGAGAGTCTGGGTCTGTATGGGGATTGTGGATGACAGGACAAGCTTGTAACTATAAAAGAATATACGGAGTACGGAGTTACAGAGTATATATAAACAAGCAAAACCCTTGCTGGCGGCGCCCCAGTTTCATCCCCTCAACTCCCCTTCACCTTTTTCTTTTATTCCTTGATTATTTTTACTTTTGTTTTTTTGAGGTAAACGGTTTGAAACTGAGCAACTCTCGTGGCTATTTTTATCTCACCTTTCTCATCATTGTCTACGTCTCAGAGATACCTCTCATCCTACTCGACCCATTAACCCGACGACGGCCTGCTCAGACCCTCAAAGGATGAGAGACTCCAAGTTGGTTAAAAATAACATTTACAGATCTGGATCTACCCACGAGGGCGGAATTGTTGTTGTGTTGCAAGTGAAGGTGGCTCATCTTCAAGATGTTGATATTTATGATTATTCGCTCTGGCCCAGATACTCCGTACATACACACGGGTTTCCAAAATCAGGTCTCCCAGCTCCTGGTTACTCGGACCGGCCTGTTTGTTACACCTCCCTCCCTCTCCCTCCCTCCCGCACCATGGCGTGCACAGGGTTACCCCACCACCAAGCCGACTTGTGTGAGGTGACAGTTAACAAGCGAAATGAGGGCTAGGCAAGAGGTGTCTAGGTACCCGCCCTGGACATGGGTATTATTATTGAAGAGACATACATCTATTTTTATTACAGCGTATAGCCCGCTGGCGTCCGACCTACCCTACCCGCGGCTATTAGTATTATTGTCATTATTATTGTCAACTATATTATTATTATAATGATATATAATGATATCCTTTGGCTAGTTACTGGAACACGAGCCCCCGCGAGTGAGTTGCAGGCGAGGACAAAACATGAAATTAACACAGGATCAAGTTTTTCTTCACTCTTTCAACCATCACAACCATCTGTGATTACAGCATCATTGGGAGGAACTGAGACTGGGTACTCTACTCTGTACATGCACTGTACGGAGTACATGTACATGTACATGTACATATACATACAGGGATGAGACCGCCGCCCCTCCTAGCATGGATTGCCCATTGTGAGAAAAGAATGTAGGGACCCTGCAGCGATTAATTTCATGGAAGGGGAGGGAATTTGGAAGGAGTTTGAATGGTTGCGGAAAACAGTCAGTCAACTCCTTTAAACCTCTCTCCCCGCCCGCCCTTCCTCTTCGCAGCACTCTTGAGCCTGCCTAGGGCTTTTCATGACTTATCATAATAAGATAGCCTGAACCTAGGGAAAAAGTAATCTTGTATCCCATAGCGTATCGCGTATCGCGTATCTTACGGTATGGTATTCTACGCATGGATGGATGTCGCCCTTTTGACTTCCCTTTCCGAGATAGACGAGAGAGATTGCTTCCATTGATCTTCTCGGACACAATGGGCGGAGAAAAAATAAAAAATTGTTCTTTCGTCCCCCAACCAACTATATACTGACCATCATCACTCTACTCCGTATGTGGTCACAGATCACAGATCAACGGAGAAGGACACAAATGGAACAGTCTAGACGGGCGTCTGGCAGTAGTAGGAGTAGCCTTTTAGAGGTAAAAGCAAAGTGATCCTGTCAGCAGCCTGTTTCTCTGCTTTGTTTAGATGGAGGAGTGAAGAATTGTTGCTCAGAAAAGAGCACGATATTATAACTAGTAGTAGTTAACTTACTCCGTAGAAGAAAAAAAAAAAGAAGGCGCAAAGCGGACTGATTTTTGCGCTCCTCGGAAAACTCGCGAGGCTGAGAGAACAAGCCGCTGCAGATCCCCCATTGGCTGATCCTCGCATGATGTTCGTCTCTTCGTATTTTTTGTGCCTTTTTCCTTTTCGTTACTGTCGCCTGGCGAAATTTCTTCGAAGCCTTGAGCGCATGTTAATAAACCTCAAGCCCGGTGAGTGTTAACAGGGGATTGTTAATAGCCTCTCTTATTCAACTTTTTTCGTTCTTTCCTTCTCTTTTCTACTCTATGGCAAGTTGCTTTTCAGGAGCTTTTTCTACTACCCACCACTGATCAGTGAAAACACAATGACTCCATGGGTTGCTGCATCATAGAGCTGTTGTTATTGTGCCTTGCTTTCATGAGCAGGATGCTGTCCATCTGCAATGTGTGTGTGTGATCTGAAACATGAAACAATTCTGTCAATGCTGTATTGAGTTGGATAATAAAAATGTTCATGAGATATGCATGAATGATGTACACTCATATACTCAAAGCTAATGATGTGTTTATATACTCCGTACTCTGTACTTCAGATGATGATTTCACTTTTGATTTTGATTTTCTTCTTTATATATTCAATGAAGCTTTTGTGATCTTCTTGAGATTTTGCTGAATTGCATCATTGCTGTCATACATATTCTCTGTCAAATTTCTTTGTCTTCTGGAATTTTCTTGACTTTTTACCCCTGGTATGGAGTTCTATCTATCTGAAAGAAATTTGCTTTTGTATTTACAGAAGCATGATGTTCAATAACTCTCACAGTTATAAACAACTTTCAAGATTTCTGAATCTTGACACAGATGTTATATTCTCTTCTGAGAATTGAAGATACACAGTGAATACAAAAGAACATGTTCAAATCTCAGCTATGAGACAAAAAAGAGACTTCTGCGAAATATTTCCACTCAGATGACAATCATCTTTATTTTGACCTCTCAACTATGAGAAATGAATCTATCTGGCATAAATTTCCATGTCCTATACAAATAACCTGTAATTTTAAATTGGCTTGATAGTCTCTGAAAATCTCTTGATCTAACTGTCTGGAAAAATCTAATGCATAGTACAGTGAAACTCGGGTTGAAATCTTCTCCACATTCTGTGGCAGATGCATGACAGTGCAGTGATGACTTTAATCATTTCAAGGCTGGAGTAACTTGTTCCTCTGAGCCCTGTGCAGGTTATGCATGTCAATTAGGGGACATGTGCTCTATTCTCTTGATATATATATACAAGCACCTCTCATATGTATATATATATTATGAATATGCTTTGGGTACATCATACATTCCGCCCGTTCTTTGACGATTTAGGAGACTCGAACTTGAACAATACTGCATTCTGCGGTTTTAATGTTTGTCCGTGTCCAACTTCTCCGGACCTGACATGGGAGCAGCGGGAGGAGTCAATAGTATGACGGGTGTAAGGGGAGATCGAGGTAAAGAGAGTGAAATAACTTATAGAGGACTGCACCCAGGGGTCTGAGCCTATAGTTATTACACAATAGACTATTATGGCAGCTTTCTAAGTTGTTGGGTGAATCAACATTGAGAACGGAAGCCCGAAACTGAAGAAGGGTTGGATCGAATTGTGATGTAAGATGACCCATCTTGACTACCCTTCTATGCAAGGTCGTTTTCAATTTTCCAAGTTGAGCATTCCCACCCAGCGAACGCCATGGCCACAAAAATCCTAGCAGCTCTGAGGTGAAATGTTTTCTTTTTCTGTCCCACGCCGGGGGAAGAATCGTCGAAGTTAGATACATGGATGTGGTTCCTGCTCCCATTAAATAAAATAAAATAAAAATATAACTTGTGGTATAATAATGCCCAGCCGCCGCCGAATATGCCTTCCTTATCCTATTGTACATATGCATGTTCACATTTAGTCGTGTCGTGGCCGGGGGTGGTATTGACGGGGAATCATCATGGGGGCCCCTCGAGCTCTCGCCCACGCTTGGTAGGAGTTGGGATGTCCTTCTGTTCGGATAACGCTTCCAATTGACATAAAGAATCTGGTTTTCGTAAAGACATGTCTCAATCAGAAAAATGGCTCGTTGAAGTGAAGTGAAAATTTCAGGGGGTTGGGAAAGAAAGGGAATAGAATATATACCCGAAAGTTGCGCCGGAACCAACCATATATTTGCCCAAAGTGCGCATCACGCCGTTTGGTCCAGCACCGTACTGAAAGATCGCAACAGTTCCTGTAGATATGTCAGCCAATCCCGACCCCTTTGGAATTTGCGGTAATTAGTCGATCCGTGATTCTCACCCATGATGAAGCCCATGATCAGTCCGACCGCTGCAGGTTTTCAAATGTTAGTATAGAAACCTTCGCAGACCAACAAACCAGCAAAATTGCGGAGAAGCCGTAGAACAGAGTAGGAACGTACATCCACCCATCATTGCCCCCATTTTCCCTATTGTGACAAGTCAGTCAGCCAAGCTCTAGATCTCAATGGTTATTTTGGAAGCAGCAGTGGGAGACTGACACTTGTCAAAGGCTGAGGGACCCTGCATGCCCCCACCACTTGCAGGCACCACTGGCGGCATTGTTGTTAGACGGCAGAATACGGCCTTCTTTTATAACAAAGAGTGAAATGTCCGCAGAGGGCCAGGATTATAATTGCGCGCGAGGGAGGCGGAGATATGAGCAGAAGCTTCAGGTTCGTTTCGGTTTGCGGTCCTTGAGAGCTCTTTGACGGCATGGAGGGAAGATGACTAAGCAGCGCATTTCCTTTAGAAGAAGCTAATCCCTTTTGGGCTTGTTTCGCTTATGGATTCCCGCCAGCCTAGACCTCACGTGACATATCGTACACTTTGACCCTTTCCTGGGATGATTCTTCCTCTCAACCCTCTTCACTGGCCACCATTGCGTTCCAGCCCCCTCGGACCCGGTGCTGAGATCTTTTCTTGCGTGTTTCTTTGGTTACAATAGTGTTATTCATCTCCTTACCCCGTCTTACTCTCTCCTTGGTTGCTGCTGTTGTGGATGCTGTGTTGCCGCCGGACCCATCTTGGGAGAAACCACGCGAGACCCAACCGTCTGCCCAGACCGTTCGTGACCTAGGCCCTATTGCAATTTTCTAGGCCGGTGAGTATTTGACATATTCGATCTTTCAGGACCAAACAATTGCTTCCCAACACCACTTGATATTCTATTTGCCCCTTTAAGTTCAGAGCATTCTGAATTACTTTCTTTGTACGGGCCTACGACGACTAAAGCTAACCCCTTTCTCCTTCCAAGTTTTACGACCCTCGGCCAAACGCCCCCCTTTTTATATCCTATATCCGCGCATTGTCGAAGGGTTCCCTATGCTGGTTGGAACTCTCCACCTGTTTCCGAGTTGCCTGTGTGTCTCGCGTAGTCGTGACAGATTCTTCTGAGCAGGAGTAGCCCACCTAGTCAGTTACGATTGACGTATTCGAGCGACAACTGTGCGTCCGGAGCCACTGCCGTTTCCATGACAGCTGTGGCATCACCACCAAGTGTGCAATCTGGGCCTCGTCTGGGATGGCATCCTGCTGTTGACGGTGGTCAAGGAGCGCTTACCCCTTCGAGCTCAGACGAGGGACTACGAATGTTCATACCGCGAAAAAGTGTGCAACGAACAAACTCGTCCTCATCTTTGAATTCAAACTCGTCTACATCATCTACAATAACCGTGAATTCGCCACACAGTAATGCTAGCTACACATCCAACGAGTCGGGAACTGCGACGTCTAAGAAAAAGTCATACAAATATAGTTGGTCCAACTCCAAGGCTGAACCAGTGTCCGGGGTGACGAATGCGAGATCTCTGCCTGTTTCCGTACCCTCCTCTGGAACCACCGCATCCTCCGCCATGTCTGCTCTTCATCAACCCACCCCCGTTGTGCCGTCTCAGCATGCCCTCCAAAACCAGCAACAAAATGGCACCCGGCTCACAAATGGATCCCTACCTAGCGACCCCCCGGCAATCTTGACTTTATTGCCAGTAAATGGGACGTTTGAAAGAAAACAGATAACTGTTCCGTATTTCCCTGAAGTGCTTCGCGTTGGGAGACAAACCAACGCCAAAACAGTTCCTACGCCAGTAAATGGTTATTTTGATTCAAAAGTACTCTCTCGACAGCATGCGGAAATCTGGGCCGACCGGGCAGGGAAAATTTGGATAAGAGATGTGAAATCATCCAATGGAACGTTCGTCAATGGGCAACGTTTATCCCCAGAGAACCGTGATTCTGAGCCACATGAACTTCGAGAACATGACACGCTTGAGCTTGGGATTGATATCGTGAGTGAAGACCAGAAATCAATTGTCCATCATAAAGTTTCGGCCAAAGTGGAGCATGCTGGAATTTATGGCCCGAACATGAATATCTTGGATTTGAACTTTGGCGACATTGACCCAACTGCTGGCGGTGGACTTCTACCCTCGCACCTCAGCCAACCTCTCTCACACATGCGCGGTAGACCTGGGAGCGCCGCATCCAATCGTAGCAACCACAGCGCGGCTGGGAATCATATGGGCATGTTGCACCAACAGAGACAAATGAACTACTGGCTCTCCCCTATCTCGATCGAGCAGGTGGTAAAAAGGCTATCGGTATGTATTCCCTTTGTTATCCGCGGAATTTAGACAATGCTAATCCCCCTGTTCTTCAGTCTGAAATGAAACAAGCAAAACAACAAGCTCACGATCTCAACCAAACCAACAACTTTCTTAGTCATTTGGTCTCCCATGAGATCTTAGAAAAGGAGCGGGCGAAACTGTCCCCCGTTGAGAGCCACGGTGGTGGGCGCTTGGTAAACGGGCGCCCCAAGATGTCAAAAGTGGACCAGATATCCAGATTTTCAGACCCACCAGCACCACCACCACAACAACCTTTACCTGAGAAGCCTGACGCTCCACATCGTAGTATAACTGATTCCATGCCACAACCGAATTTGAAACGATCTGGCACGGAGAAACCCAAAGCTCCCATTCACCCGCCAGTAAATCGAGAATCAAGTCAGATTCTGTCGCTAATAGAAGCGCTCGCCACAGCTAAGAAAGACCTTGATTTGCAGGGTGCTCGAGTCAAGGAACTAGAAAATCTACTTCTGGCGGAGCGGGCAGCTAGAGAACATGCTGAAGAACGAGCACGAAGCCTGGAGGGAGGTGCTGCTGACCGGGGAGAAAATTCGGAATTAGAGGCAGTCTGTCAACCGCCTGCCACATCAGAAAACGACACCACTGGGGTTGAAGAGGTAACTGTTCTCGAACCTTCAAAACCGGAAGAATCGAAGCCCGCTGTTGATTCCCCGCTACCCGAGCCCAGCAAAATACCACCTGATGCAATTTCTGAACAGCTCCAGCAGCGCATCGATTGCATGATCGCTGAGATGGACGAAATGAAGAAAGAAGTGGCCAAATATAAACAGTCTGCCGAGAAAGCCGAAAACGAGGCTTCCGAGACCCGTAAAACACTCGCTGAAATGATCGAACAGATCCGAAGTACGCGCACCGAAGTTCCCCCAAATTCGTCACCGGAAGCCATCAAAATCGAGTTGGATAATAGTGAAACTGAAGCTGATACCCTGGTCAATATTTTTAATGAGAGGCTTGGTCAAACCAATTTGCCACACGACGCTAGCTCAAAGTCCCGCCCACTCGATCAAGCAAGTAAAGAGGTATATGGAGCTTATGTGAAGCAACGTCACAGAAACATGCTGGATCACACTGCTCCGTACGCCTCAATGCTTGGTGTGGTCCTTCTAGGTGTGGGAATTATGGCATATTTAAACGGCTGGCAGAGAGGGGATAAATGACAACCTCGCCACCGATTACTTCTTTCTCCCCGTCTCCGTCCTATTTATTCCCTGCAGCTGGACACTGAATTGTTAGGATAGGCGGTATTCTTAAATCCGACCGTGGCGTGTGTAGCACGGCCGTCTTCGTTACTTTTTTTGAGCCCATTTCTTTCCTATTCTCTTTCTTATTTTACCCTTCTCTCAATTTGTAGGGTTGGTTCTTGCAAGCAGGTCTGGCGGTTCATTCAAACTCGGTTTGGAGTTAAATTTCTATGCTCCTTTTCTGTTCCACTACTGATTCACCTTTCTGTTTTACTTCAAGCTTTTATTTTACAAACATTAATATAGCCTACACCAATCATGTATACTTGGTATGTCGGGCGATGATGATGAACCCGTCTCCTCTTGAACAGCTCAGGAGTTGACTGATTAAACCTATTTTCACTTCTCAGGAACAAGTTATATATATTGATTTTGTTCTCCTTGTTATTACTTTGATTTTCTTTTGTCAGTTACCCTGTCAAATCTGCGAGAATAGCCTCTCTTACTGTCTTTTGTTGCATCCCCTCATTGATGTTTTTCTATGTACATGGTTTGTCCTTAGCATGCACCAAAGCCATCCTCCTCTTTTTCTTTTTCTTTTTCTTTTTATTATTTTGGTTGTTTATGATATGTCCACGAAATACTTGAGAAATGTGATGAGAAAGAAGGAGTTAATTTTCTCAGTGTCACCACGCAGGTTGAATCTTTGACTAGATATTCTGCTAACAAACACAAACACCTAACTTCGGCTACGTACGATATATCAGATGAGCAAGCAAATAAGACTACCTGTTTCTTTTTAATCCTTTCCTTCAACCTGTCGTCCGCCAAATGCGTGAGCGAAGTTATGCTCTGCCAGGGCGCGTTGAACACCACGTCGAAGAGTTAATGAAGCCCTGGTATGCTTGGGGCTATTTACGGCCGAAGCGTGAAATGGAGATGTGATAGATCAGAGCATTAGTTCATCCGTATTGGCTGTGAGCATGCAGACACTGAGAGGTTTTGAGGGGTTTGGGTGCAAGCAAGCATAATGGTATTTTGAGATCATCCCAAATCAACATTGACTCGCTCTTGCATCGGGACACTGTTTTAAAATCGAATTGAATGAACACTGTATATTTACTTCCACTAATGCTTTGCTGCGACCAAGAAGACAACCCGGTCTGTCGTGATTGCCTTTAATACTATCTATGCCACACACTCCACGACGAGGTGGTTTGCTTGTTCAGTTTTCTATTCAAAGAGCCTCGTTCAATAGGGCGGAAGACTAAGAAAGTGGTTACTAAACTCCACGATATCCTCGTCCTTTGGCAATTTTAAGGGGCCTAAAGAAGGAGCTTAGTGGTGAAAACGAAGAAAAAGATACCTATAAAGAGAATTTCAATATGGGTTCAAACGAGCAGATACCGACCTATGCCCTCCGTGATGTCGTTGAAACTGACGTCCTAACCGCTTTATCGGCCGATGTTGTTTCTCATGTCATCTCCAATCAACCATTCATTTCTGTCCCCGGTCTTTTTAACTTCAGGGATCTCAGCCATCCCCGTGCCACGCTCACGCCTCTGAAAAAGAATTACATTTTCCGCTCCGGTTGCTCGCTTTCCTTGAGGAGGAAGGCAAGACCAAACTTACAACTGGTCTCGGAGTGAAGAAGATCTTTGATCTTGAAGATGTATCAAAATATCTTGGTCACTCATGTGCCCATCTATCGCGCCGTGTTTGAACATATACAGGACTTCCCTGATCAGCCGTTCTTTTTCCATTGTACATTACAGGTAAGACGCTTCTTTCTCCCTCGCGATGAACATCGGTTTTCTTGGAGAAACCTGTTTTATGAACCTTGGCCTTCTCCCCTTCCTAACCATACTTGTTCTCCAATTGTACAGCTGGAAAAGATAGGACTGGGCGTCTTATCTGCGCTTATCCTTCGTACTGCCGGATATTCGCCAGATACGATCGTGCACGATTATGTACATGTACTTGCTCGAGTTGGGTTCGAGCCTATTCGAGAATCTCTATACAATGAGCTTATTGGCAAGAAAGATCGCGATGAGGTGACAACTAGGAGCATTCTAGCTGCTGGGGGAATATCGTACAAAGCGATGGTGCAATTCCTAGGATTCATGGAGAAAGAATTTGAGAATTGGGGCGGAGGGGTCTTCGGAGCAAGTTGGGGTTTTCAAGTACGGATATTGATACGTTCGTGTGAACTTGAGGGGTTAGGGGAATCGAATTCTCGCTCCAAAAAAGCTCCGAGCAGCCTATTGCTATGCTCTGATATACAGGTGGAATGTGTATGGAGATGCATCCTGTATTGAATGAATGATGGAGAGAGAGGACCGGAACGGGTGATGAGAGACCAGTTGCATGTTGTTGACCTAGAAGATATATATCCCTTTGCATAAGTAGGTAGTAAGATGAAAGGAAGGGAAGATAACGCATTCCATTTTCTGCCCATTATTTATTTAATATAGTAGCGATGGAAATTTCATTTGCAATATCCAAGTGCTTGTTTGTTGGTTGAAAGATTAAATAAGCGGAAATATATTTTTGCGTGATGCATGCAGAAAGCGAACCATCAACTCACAAATATTCATCATTATTTTAATGGACGGATTCCGTCCATTTCTAGTTTTCACCTCCAATTGTTGGGATTTTTCTTTTTTCTTTTTCCAGATAGCTTTACATAGCTAAATGCTTGAAAAAAAATTTGCGGCATAAATATGTTACAGCTGATTAAGTCTCTCATGCCGCCCATTGCGCGCTCAAAAACTTATTATATCAGAACAGATTCGAGCAATTATGTTTGATATCAGGAGAAAAACAATGCCATACGCAATGGTGGACGTACTCCATTGCCCTTCTTGATCAAGACTTCTTCGAGCGCATTTCTTAGGAGTTGTAACACTCTCGATTGCCGCTTCCCTCTAGGCCATGTTTATGGGCTGCTCATGCCATATATACAGAATGCGGCAAATCCTCTCGTTTGTTTATTTCTCCAGCTTCTGTTTCTATCTGTTGTTTTCTTCTTCTTTTCCAGCTTCATTATATCCTACGGAGTGGTGCATATTCTACTGGAACATAGTATAGCAACTCTTGAAGGGTCAACGGACCGAACTGCTACATTCCAATTTATACTCTTTCAAGACTACTTGAAGCATCCATATCAACTTCTCTTGCAGCTAACTCCTCCGTTGGAACCTCTTTGCTACAAACATGCAGTCATTTGTATTGCTGTTTTTTGGCCTGGTATCAGCGCAGCAGGCAACGGCTGAATTCAACTTCTACGCCAAATATGAAGAAGCCTCGGTGACTACAACGCTCGGGATACCAGACCAATGTTTATCAGCTCTGTATGTTTCAATCAACTACGCCCCCTACTGATTGAAATATGTTGTTAATACTTGTAAAGGAACCAAACCGTCGATTGTGACGCTGTTAATGTCGCTCGGGCTGCCAGTGGTGCCGATGATGATTGTATTTTGCCCTTCCAATATGTTTCTTCTTTTGTCCCTGGTCAATACTGTGTTACTGATAGACAAATCTTTGATAGTCTGGTTTAAGGATAACGTAACTTCGTTATGTACCGCGGAATGCTCGAGCGCGCTGTCAACATGGCTCTCCGACGTGGAGACTCAATGTGCTGGTCATCAAATAAATACTGACGGTCGTTTCATTGAACCATATACAATCCCATTGAGGTACATTGCTGGCTTCGATATGGCTTGCTTGCAGGATAGGTATGAATCTTTGTGTTTCCAGGTTAGGTAGCCAGTTCTAACGCCGAATAGCTTTAATAATTGGTGTTACCTGGAATCTCAAGGCTGGGAAAGCGTTGGAAATTCTAAGTAAGCTCCGCATTCGAATCCTTTTTCCTTGATATGCAACCCTGACGATATTAAGATGGGGTTCCGACCTATGCTATGGCGATGATCCTCCGCCTCAGTGCGACGACCAAGTCCTTATGATCGCGGACGCCACCGCTGATCCAGATAGGATGTCTGTGACCAATATGTATAGCAAGGATTTGGTAAGAGTCGAACTTTTCTTTATCTACTAGACCCCTACAGTAACTAACTTTATATCTATAGTTTTGCAGTGAATGTTTTATACTAATGTGGAGGCAACGACTGCTTTCGCCTGTTTTGTCCTCCGCAAAACTTGCAGAGTACCTGGTTGACCAGTTCAATAAGATTAACTCTGCCTGCTCAGACTTGCCTGGTGCAGCGCCTGCAGTTTTCGGAACAAATGAAGAACCTACGCCTAATGAAAAAAGAGCACATGGAGTCTATAACGAGGCTGGTAAGTTTCTAACCCAGCAGCTTTCATCTCACGGAATTCAACCTGATGTTCTCTCTAGCCACCCCAGCTGTTCCCGTCCATCCAGGGGCCATTGGAGACTGTGGCCAATACTACCACGTGGCTACAGGCGATACTGTGAGTTCTGCTACCATAGCACTGTTAAATTAATGTCTACTAAGTGTGAAATTCTATAGTGCGGATCGATTGCGTCGAACTTGTAAGTTTGGTTAACACTTGGCCATTATTAACATTATACTCATCGTCTTCAGGGGGATTTCCATCTATGACATCAAGCGTTTCAATACAGAGGTGGGTTCAATAGTTACCCAAAGTGACTTTGATCAATTATTTATTGTTCATACCCTAGATTTGCTGACCAATGTTCGGAATGTAGCTGGATAGGACATGCTCCAACCTGTTGGCAGATCATGTTATTTGTATCGCTCCGATTGAAAACGAACCAATTTCTACAGATGGCAATTGTGGAGTGGGATATGGGACCGTATGTGAGGGGTCGGAATTTGGCTCGTGAGTTTTCTTTACCCTTTTGAAAAAACATTGCTCACAAGGCTAATACACCCTACCTGGCTTAGATGCGTAAGGCCCAATTCCATAGTCTCACACCCATCTTTTGTTAATTTGTTGTTATTCTTTAGTGCCATTCGAATAATCGCTGTGGGCCTTGCAATATGGGTGATACAGGTCCAGAAGACGCTTCTCCTATTGATACTACGCCCGATTACCTAGCTCCTGACGATTCTGCTCCCGGCATCACTGACCCCGCTGATCCTTCAACCCCTATTCCGGCGCCAGACGACTCTATGCCCAGCAGCACGACTTCCAGCACGACTTTCAGCACGACTTCCAGCATCACTTCCAGCATCACCCCTCCGAGTGATAGTGCTCAGGATGACTCTGCTACTGGTGACCCAACTTCCGCCAAACCTTCCCAACCAACAGAAACAGGACGTCCCGGAAATACCACTATGAGCATTAGCATAGATGGGAAATGCTCTCTGAATGTCTCATGCACAGGATCCGGTTATGGTTCTTGTTGTAGCACTAGCGGGTATTGTGGAACTGGATATGAATGGTGTGGTATGTGATTAGCTGGTAACCATTCATTTACATGCCTACATTCTTGTATTCTAATGATGACTAGGTGTCGGAAATTGTCTGGCTGGTGCCTGTGAGCAAGATAAATCAGGGATAAGCTTTGACGGAACTTGTGGCCCACGTTCCCCAGAAAATAGGACTTGTTTTGGCTCAAGATTTGGTGATTGTTGCAGTTTATCGGGATATTGCGGTACAGGGCCTGAGTGGTGTGGTAAGTGATACTTTTGTTTCTCCACTCACCCCCGATCACTTTTATATATTACATACAAAAGGATGGATAAGTGCGCTAACAGTCCAATTTTTTTAGGATATGGGAATTGCCACTCAGGCGCCTGTGATAGATCACTGAACGGTGTAAGCACAGATGGAACTTGTGGTCCCAAATTCCCTGGCAATATGACATGTATGGGCAGCTCTTATGGAGAGTGGTAAGTAAAGACATAGATCGATCCCCCCTTCTTTTTTTCCCCTATGCCTTCAACATCGCTTTCAACTTTGTGCGTTTCATGGGCTTTTGAGAAGGATCAGCCAATAGCTGACGCTATGCGCAGTTGCTCAACACAAGGATTCTGTGGGTCTTCGTCACGACATTGTGGCGCTGCATCCTGCTATTCTGGAAAATGTGAAGACAGTAACAAAGATGAAGATGATAAGGTCCAAGACGATCCGGAGCAGGACGATGCAGGCGGGGAGGATAAGCTCGAGGAAGATAAAGACTTCGAAGATAGGGATGAAGACGCAGATGCTGTTGAGGATTAAAATCATAGGGATGCATAGAAGGTTCCGTTTTGAGAATATTGACACTCATTATTGACTGCGCAAAATATCCACAGGGCGTATTGTTACCTGATGAAGGCCATGGATGGTGAGATGGGACGGCTTGACTGTTACCGGTAGCACCCTGCATATGGATCCGGAGATGGATTGAAGCAAGGGAATATATCTTGTTAGAATACACTTCATAACATTCTTTTGCTGAGAATTCAACATCGCCTTTTTTGCCCTTAGGATTTTTGATGTCCACGGTCCATGGTTCGTTGGAAACAGGGCCCCACTAGCTTAATTTCCCCACGTTTTAGTGTGGGGCGTAAACGGATAGGGCTGAGTACTCCCGTAGTTAGCCAATCAAAAACCGCAACAGAGCAACATCAACTCAATTTCGGTTAACGCCAAGCTGCATCACAAACGAACTGTGATGAAGGGAATAGGGAAGATGGGGAGATGGACAAGGGAGAACGGCTAAACAGCTAAAATTTTGTGAAGCACAGGTCGGTTCCATTATTCTACCTCAGTTTTCCGAGGTTCTAGATCGTATTCTAATAATCCGCAATGATGAGGGATGGTGCCGTTGGTGCCGGCCGTTAATTTTCCATACGACCCTACTGACATGGATCAGGGGGGATTCCGGTTCCAAGGAAGAAGCCACAAGGAATTATTTCGCTATCTAAATGAAAATGAAGGGGATGAAATCCTCGTTCAAGAAATTGACTGGTGAGGTAGCTTTGAAGACGGAACCGGTTGGAGACAGACCTAGCTTCCCTCCTGGGTCTGGACCTGTGCCTGCCACGTTAGGAATGCTGGAATAGACACTCTATACCCTCGATACCGGTCAATTAGGTGGAATTATGAAGGTCCAGAAGGAGATGGACGTGTTGGACGTTAGTCTACGTGTTCTGGAATGGAAGGAGGAATTAAACCAATGTACTTCATGGTTGGTGCGGATGGGTCTGCAGGTGCGGAATGAGAGATTGTGGGGGTCATTGGAGCTCCGAATGATCAGTTTGATAAAAAGAGGGAGGTTGATATGGCCCTCTCTCCGTTCCCCTTTTGTTTTCATTGTAACCGTTATTATTATATTCATACCTCTTACAAATGTATTAGGTGTGTCCTCTTCTGCCTCGCCAGGCATTAATCCAACAGTACCCTTAATTTTAAAACAGGTGATCCCCTGGTCTGTGGATATGGCGTCGATATTTCATCATTCGCCGAAGTTGGAAAGTTTTCGGATGATGATCCTACGCGCAGAGAGTTTTGGATATGTAGAGTGGAACAACACTGGCGGGACGAATGAAGGAAATAGAGGTGGATGGGTTGGCGGAATTACGGGGGGTAGTGCTTGAGAGTCAAGAAGGGGCCAGGAAGGGTAGTTAAGGCGTTGAGCGAACAGGCTATATGTGAGGAGATATCGGTGATGAAAGGGTGCCCTGTGTTCTCACTGTTGAAAGTTAGGGAGCTGAGCTTATCTATCGGTTCCGGTTAACATAATGGTGCTAAGAAAAGTGGGTGGACAAATGACCTGAGAATTCGTTGAGTCTATATTAAATTCCACACGCTACCCTAGAACGCCTGTGACATCATTTTTTTTCAACGCCAAAATATCATGCGCAGATAACATATGGGTCAAAGTGTCTGCAAAGGTATGGTTGAGAAATACTTTACAGAAACGCAAACAACAGAGTAAATACCTTAGTCTAATTTCTTCGCCTGCTCCATGCTGGGGGCTTTATAGATCGACCTCTCCAGATTTGAAGCCCACAATGCCGCACCGACCGTGTTCGTATATGCAAATGCCAAAGACGCAAAGGGGACCATTTCCAAGACAAATGCCGCTGCCCCGAAACTATATACAGGAAAGGAACAACACCTAGTTAGTCCATATCAGGGTTTGTAGTGGGAAACAGGAGGGATTTCAACAAATGTTCTATCTCTTACCTCGTATACGCAGCATGGTGCGCGGCCACCCATGCTCGCTTCTTCTTCGAATCCCACCCTTTAAGTTGAAAATATCTCTCATGCATTACTGGCCCGAGTCTTTTTCCTTGAGAAACGACATACAACACCGTCCCCACCACAGGAATCATATTTAGTGGTAAATACATCAACGATCTCACCAACGATGACAACGAGAACATCGCCAATGGTTTCCGAATCACAGCCCCCAACCGAGCCATTGGATCCGTGGATGATGAAGAACCTTTAATCTGCCGGCCCTCAGAGACTAGCGCTGTGTCGCCACGAGCAATCAGCGTGCCGTCGAAGATGTCAACGAGGGAATCGCGAAGAATGAAGCTGCGCGAGAGGTAGTTTGTAATCGTGGAGCTTTCGCTGAGGACGAGGAGGATTGCGGAGAATGGCGCCAGGGGTCCGCTGGTGAAGGCTAGGATGGCAACTTGAGGGATGTAGGTGAAGAAGAACATTGTTGAGGTTACGAGGATGCCCAGGGAGACTGTTGGGGCGATTTTGGACACGAGAGGTTGCCAGAGGGAGCGATGGGCGATAAAGTAGAAGATTCCCTGGTGTTTTCTGTTAGAATATGTCGGACTAGATTTTACAATTGCATTCCCTATGATTGTGCGGGGTGTTTGGGTTGCTCTCCAAGGCATTGAAAATATCAGTGGGAAATATATGCACATACCTGGAAGGGATACATGTATGTGCCTGACCTGGCTGCTTCCGTTAGAAGTGCTTTCAGGTCATTAACCTCGCTGATGAAGATGGTCTTGAGTTTGTCGGCCATGGTGGATATTGATAAATCCTGTTGTACGGTGAGGTGTGATTTACGGTTAAGTCTCCCTCGCTGTGTTGGTCGGTCAGTTAAGTTGTAAGAGAGATATAGACTGAGTATAGTACTGGGTCGTCAACACTTTTCCTCTTCGCAAAAAGTTAGAGCGTGTTGGCATAAATATATACAGTAATTATAGCAGGAAGATGCTGCAGAGCTCCTTGGATGACGTCAGTCAGGTGACCCACGCCAAACTGCGGAACCAAAAGCTTATTTATTTCCTAGCCTACTCTACTGCTAGTTACATCAATAGAGCATATGATGAAACTTGAATATAATGCTAACTTTGGCTGAAAAAACAGCTAGTATGATTTTAACTTAGATTAATATGATTTCAAAATTGTAACGGTAGACCCTGGACAGGAGCAAGCAAGCCACCACTATATAAGGATGGGTGCAGCCTGGACCTGGCGGCTCTATAACCATGACAATTTTAAACATGCAAAATGATGAGAAAATGACTGACTCACTTTATTTATAGATTATGTTATCAAATTCTCATTATATAAATAATTATAATGAGACTGAATTTATCTTTCAGTTTCAGTCTCATTCTGATTTTTGAAAAATGATCATCTTTCACTGTTAATTATTAGACATTATTACTCTCATTTCTCATCATTTCTGAAAAAAAAGGATTCATTTTCACATTTTTTTAATGATAGATTCTGGTGAAACTCACATCAAGAAATGTATGAGATCAGATTAAATAAGATCAAACATGAAATTCATGATTCTGCTGGCCAGTCTAATTATATATGTGGAAAAGAGTATCAAAGTTGATCATGTGTCTGGTATAGTTATAGTTCTAGCATTGAGAAACAGCATGATTTCAAAGCTGAACATAGTGTCAAAAAAGTGAGTCAAAAATTTAGCATCATGTCTAGGTTTTTTAGCACCATGTTCATCTGTAACCTGACATCAACATAGTAGTAAATACTCAGGTATACAGTCTGTATACAATTAGGTTTAAGTCAAGCCAACACGATGTAGAAGACGAAATCTTTTTTTTTTCTTTTTTTTCTCTTTTTTCCCTTCAAAGCAGGATGTATTAAAAGCTAAGAAAAGTTATATACACCTGTGCAATGATGGCTTGAGCCAGTGAACAATCAAGGCCTTCAGCCCTCTTCTCTTCATCAACTTGTTCTCTTCCATTTTCGAAACCGGATTAACTCAATTCTGTAAGGAAAGTCTTTGCAAATTGACAACAAAGTAATTTGACTCAAACATCCGAAAACTCGTGTTGGACCGCAAGGCTAATGTCAGTTGTTTTATTTTTGTTTTGATTAGCAATAATTAATCACACCTAAAACGCCAAAGTGCCCAGCGATCAAATAAAATCCCCACGTTCGCTAAACCAAAGATACAAAGGGAAAAGAAAAATATGCCTAGAAGGTGAATGGGATACGGAGTGGAATGCTTCGTAGTATTAAAAAAATAGTGGTAAAGAAGAAAGTTCGAGAGCAAAGTTCGACATTAACGGTTCCGATCAGACCGAGGGGTTCGGGATTGATGCCACACTGAATCGCCACTCAAGGCAGAAAGGCTTAGGGATGCGAGATTTCTCCAATTAGACTGGGAATTAGAGCTCTCCGAGGGGTGAAGTAGTGATGTCCTGGAATCATCCCCGCGCTCTAGGTCGGAATCGATATCGTCAGAGACATTAGGTAGAAGATCAGCTGCCGATGGAGAATCGTTCCGCGTTTCAGCAATATGGGCTTGAATATCTTCTGACATCCGGTCGGGATCTTCCGACGTCTGACCACTAGAGGATCGACCACCCATCGATCGCACAACATCGCCTTTACATATCGGACAGGTGCGTCGACGTGTAATGAGCCAAGGAGTTCTGGAACAAGGCCAGTCAGTGTATAAATTATGGACGGAGTGATAATAGTCAAAGAGGGAATAGATCACTTACATGCACTCTGCGTGGAATTCATGCCCACACGGGAGGCTCATCACTCTGCTCTGCCCATCGATATATTCTTCGAGACAGACAACACATTCAATTTGTCTGCCCGTATACCTTCGACGAGCAAGACTTGAATCAGAGTTCGATTTTTCAGCGTTTGTTGATGAGGAGCTATGCGTGGTGTCATGTGGTGAAGCGGCTACGACGCCAGATGAAGTTTGAGAACACGGTCGGGGGGGTGGAGATCGAGCGCGGGAATGGGATAGGAGAGGAGAAGATGGGGACGATGCTTCGGGGGAGGTGGCAGTCTGGGCGGTGCCTGAAGAAGATGATGCGGATGGAATAGAATGATACGTTCTAACAGGGAGGCGGTCGACGACAGCTTTAGGTGCGCGCCAACGGCGGCGTCGAATTCTCGAGCGAAGCAATAGTAATGCATACACAACCGTGAGGGTTATCAATGGGCTGACAACTAGAACCAAAAGTGTATCGAAAAAAGGGCTGGTAGACATGCTCGTTGGGGTCAAGGTGACCCAAAGACCTTCGTGATCAGAGTGCTTACTGCCTTCTTTCCAAGGCTTTTGCAAGGGAGTCGAGTTTCCGTGAACGTTCTTGTTACTTTGTCCTGCACTCTTACCGGATGGCGAGGTCGACGACTTATCATCATTGCTTGCTCCTCCCCAACCAAACGAGCCAGACCACCAATGCGAATTCTGTTTCGAGCTTCCAGGCCGTGAATCCGAAGCTGAATTAGGATTAGAACTACCCCCAACTCCCTTACCAATTGTTGACTTATCCTGGGGAGCATATTCGCCACTACCTGGAGTAATACTTCCTCCTTTAAGACCGTTACCACTAGGGCCATTGTTGCTATCGCCACCGTGCCCTCCAGTTTGATCATCGTTCTGTTTGGAGCCGGAGGATTTTGGTTTCGGAGTAGTTTGCGGAGGGTTGTTAGTTTTGCCTACTGGGACGAGATCAGGATCTCGCCAATCTTGGACCCCAATAACGAAATCATCACTGCTGCCTTGGTGGGATTCAGGCGACGTGCCATCCCCGATTTCCTTCCCCTTATTCTTATGTGTAGACTTCCTTGACTTTGGAGACGTTTCTTCGTCATCAAATTCATCCAGCATAACCCAGTCAATGTTTCCGCTGCTTGGTGGACGACGGCTATCCTCCTGGAGATGCCAAGGGTATGGATTATCACGACCCAGTCCGATGGCCGAGAATAGAGACTGCAAGAAACTTTTGTTAAGTCGAGAGGACGTCGAATCCGCCTCTGAAGTTGGCTTTGGGGTAACCTGCGTAGCCATTACAGGTTTGCCAAAATTTGCATTATTTTCCGGTTTATCCCCAGAAGTTGTTTTCGATGGGTCCTTAGGGGAGTTGGAGTCGGATTGTGTTTCGGGCGGAATGAGGGAGGAAAGGAGATGCGCGGTGGTATGAGATGTAAAGACCGCCGGAATTGTTATGTTAGAAGTGTCTCCACGGGCATACATGGTCACTAATCCGCCACCTCTGGTATGATCTCCAACAACTAACGCTATACCACCCCTGCGTTGAGCCCATTTAACTTTTTCCAAAAAACCACAACCCCCTCTACTCAGCAAGACAATTTTGCCTCTAATTTCCGCGCTCTCTTGCAAAGATTGGATATCAGCATGTGCTAACTCTTTGCTTTTGTCAGTGCTTGGGGGGCCGGGCGGGCCGGACTCCGGAAGAGGATGATGCAAGTGATCATCCGTTCCATCATCTTTTGACGGATGGCCCCCTTTATCAACAAGTCTAACGAGATCGGGGGAGTGTTCGTCACGTCGTTTATGAAGGGCCTCCACACCCTGATGGGCGTTGCTTTTCACTTTGATGCCAGTAGTAAGCTTTGCAGTTCCCTGGCCGGACCCAACATCACCATTCTGATTTTTATCAGTGTCCTCCCATCCTGGAACATCGGAGCAACCAAGCTCTCCCTCAGCCCCGGTGCTTACACCCCCTTTTCGCAGGGCATCATCGCCAAAGCCGCTTCCAATCCAGAGTTGACCGCTCAATCCGTTGGAAGGCAAGGAAGGCCCAAACGCAGCTGGTCGAGCTAGGAAGAATGTTGAATTATCATCGGTAAGGCTTATCATCGCAGAAGGAGGGAAGAGGGAGGAAGGCGCATGGAAAGAAAAGAAGGCTCTGAGGCGCCCGACTCCGCCAGAAACCGAGGATTGGGAGGTAGAGCCATGTTGCTGCGGATGAGTGGAAAGGAGCGACAAGATGGTCAGAAGGATTGGGAGGAAAATAAAGCACGCGAGTAGAAGAATAAGGCGAGGAGGACGCATGATGGTAGTGGTTGCGGCGACGCGGAATTGGACCAATCCACTAGGTCGTTGGCCACGCGAGGAGGCCACTCATCGAGAGGGCCGGCAGATAATGGGTTTGCAAAGACAGTAAATTGATTGATAAAGGATTTAAGATGAAGCAGAGCGAAAATCAATAAAACAGCGCAGGACAGCGCGAGAGTGGATGGAGATTAGGTCGCCCGTCGTTGAAGAAGTTTGGGGACAGGACACAACCTTGGAACTCCTGGCGAGGAGGAAGTCGTCACATGATATTATAACTAACCTAGGTAAGGTTCGACGTTAAAAGTGGGTGTTGCGCCAAGATAAATAGCTCGCCTCAGCCACACTTGCCCCACCATACCGGCAAATGATCATTTAACTAATATTTTGTCTTGTAATGATGCCAAACATCATTGAAACGTTGGGCGCTTGGTTTAGTGGTATAATATGTCATTCGCATTGACGGGGTCGCCGGTTCGATTCCGGCAGCGTCCAAATTTTTGCCTTTTTTTTCCCTGCTTTTTATTTCCCGCCTTAAATCTAACCAATCATTGATTATTACGAAGTCTCTGGCTTGCAAAAATTTCTGTCATCCTTTCTTCTCTTGAAATGTTGATTTTGCTATAACTTTTAGCTCCTGAGTCTGAACTATAATTAACAAAGCACGAGGGCTACCTGCATTTCCGCAGCAAGTGAGCCTCGCTAGAAAGTTTGTATCCTTTTATTCTAACGCACGGAACACCGCTCTCTGGTTTTTTTTTTTTTTTTTTTTTCCGATAGCGAGGGGTTCAAACTTGTAAGGTGTTAACTATCTCAATACGTCATTACCGGGATAGATAGAATTATATCAAGACTCTCCACCCACACACGCCACTATGACGGACGGTCTGTCTACCGGCGGCAATGAGAATCTCACTGTCCTATATGGGACTGATTTGGCGCCAAGTTTTTGCGCCGGGATGACTAAGAAGTTAAATTTGATGCTGTGGCTAGTAAAAAATATGACGTCAAGGTTCGTTGCAAGATTCAGGCGAGGTAAACATCGCAATCCACCTCGACAGGCGTTCAATAAGGAGGGATCAGGGAGTTTATCTCTATACCTCACTCCCATATTACCTTTGCCGCCCGTTCCACAACTTGAACTTCGTCATTATTACCGCATCTGCCCCACTGGAGCTTTTCTATCTTGATCACGGAATAACTGCCGCTGTTTTGTACACTTGAGGCCCAAGATCCACGAATTACAATGACTCAATTGAATTGTTAGTAGGCTTGCCTACCGCTCTAGAGTTGGAAGTTGGGACGTACGGAGTACGTTTAGTGAGGCAAACGAACCATATAAGAATCCATCCAGACCCCTTAGATTATAGCTCTTCTGTCAACATCATCAACAAGATATAAATTCAACTGCTGTTTTTACTTATAATTCTTTGAAAGAACGTTTACTGTACCTACCTCCTTGAATAAGCAGACTATCCCCACATTCATAATCATGTCGAACATCGTACACAAAGTTAAGGACGCCGTGACTGGCCATCCGAATCACAAATCAGATAATACCCATTCCACCACTGGTGTTGGTATGACTGCTCTTCCTACCTACTCATTTCCATGCATCGATCTGACAATTCTGAGTAGGTCAGGGAAACCATGGCACCCAGACTACCCAGGGCACAACCCATAGCACTCATGGGGGAACGGCCTCCAGCACTCGGCCACCACATTCCTCAAAGGTCGCTAACAAACTTGATCCTCGTATGGATTCTCAAGCCACCACTGGTGCTGGTATAGCTTCCTGTCTTTGCACCTCAACCCAGGGGCACAATCCGGCTAACGACCTTCAAATTAGGCCCTGGAACCCACGGCACCCACGCTGGGATGACGTCTGGCACTCAACCACCACACTCTTCCACTACTGCCAATAAACTTGACCCTCGTGTGGATTCTCAAGCCGGCACCGGTGCCAGTATAGCGTCCTTTTCATCTATCTTTATCTGTCTTTACACCTCAATCCGAGGGCATAATCGGACTAACAACCAACCTTGAAATTAGGCTATGGAACCCACGGCACCCACTCTGGAATGACCTCTGGCACTCAACCACCACATACTAGCACAGCGCAGCAGAGGTAAGGAGAATTGAGGCTCAGCGTCCGGAGAGACGCCCATATTTCAGTTACTAATACTCATGTTTTCGACCACAGCTCCAAGCTCGGTGGCAATGGCCATATGGGACACGGAGCCCTGGGGGGTGCTGGTGCCGGCCTCGGTGCAGGAACAACCCACCACGCAACTGGCCACCACAGCTCAGAGCCTGGCCTGATGCAAGCTAATCCTTTGCCTAGCAGCACAAAGGCGTCTAGGGGTGTTGGAGTCGGTGGGGTAGGGGACACTAGTTCAGCTCTTGGCTCAGGAACAGGTCATCATTCCGCTGGTCACCACGGTTCGAACGTCATGCACTCAAGTGTCGGCTCGGGAACAGCCAGCCGCACCGCCGGTCCCCACGACTCCAATCTCGCAAACAAACTCGACCCAAGGTAAGTGAAAAGGAAGAAGCGGCTCCCCATACTTTATCCTACGCAGTGCATGGATAAATGAACGACCGGCCAGCTAACAAAACATCAAAACAATAGAGTGGATTCCGATCTCGATGGCAGCCGCACAGTCGGCCGAGGCGCAACCCACAAGTAGGTTGAAACCCGCCTATCTCGTCGAGCCTCATTCGCCAACTTCTTTTTCTTTTCTATTTAGCTCGCGAACTGGAAACTTCGACAACAAGGACCCTACGGACGCAGCTCAGGTGCCCCCGAGTGTGATGAGCAAGCATGTCGGAGCTCCAGAAGTCACCCATAATGACCCAAAACACGAACGTACGCGACGACATAGTATGAAGCCGGGGGACTCGCTGAGGGAGTACGGATCTGGGACTGTTTAGGGATTGGCTCGAGAAGCTTTCTTCTTTCTGGACTGACTACATTTTTCTTGATGTTTCCCCCTCCCCCCGGCGGGGAATTTGAACATGGGGTAGTTATGAGTTTGATGATAAACATCAGTGTTATCCTTATGTTCTTCATTATTTTCTTGATTGATGTATAAATTATGTCTTAATTTAAGTTACTTACTAGTTTGCCCGTTTTCGTTGTTATCAGAGAGTAATGTATCTGATGTTATGACAGGAATGTTCCAACGCTTTGTTGTTTTGGACCTCGAAGAGCTGATGTTACAATACAATACGATAATTACACCGTTGACGTCGTACAGTATTAAATAATATACGATCTTCAAACATGAACGGTTCTCAAAAGACAACTTCCACTAAAGGAAAGCCACGTCGTTTGTATCATTTCAAACTGCTGAGATCGAAAACGAACTCGCATTCAATCAGTTCAAGAAGGTTCAGGACTGAGAATGTTCATCTTGAGAGGTGCCTTTCTGTGGGTGACTCACAACACTGACCACAACTTTTCATATTCTCTTTCATCATTCCTGATGCGCTTAGCGACCCTGACTTTTCGGGGTAAGATGTACTGTACTCATCCTTGTTTTTATATCAGACAAAAGATTTTGCCGGGAGCGAAATATACAACTATCAGCCCTAAGGTGTTGCACCTTCTTCTCCTCTAGTATAGATTTCACTTCTTAAATCTGTCAAATCCTCTGTCTGCGTCCCCGCCTCCCGTGCTATGGAACAAGGACTGTGGTAGATGGCCAACATCAGCGGATGCTCCATGCTCCCTTCCCATGGCGCCAGTCGCTTGAATATGTTTGGGGTAGATTATTCGCTGCCCTTTGCATACCTTGTTGTGGGCTTTTGTCTTGAAGAAGCGTTCATTCACTTTTTCCATGTATCCTGTGGAGGATTCTTTAGTCCCTTTTCTTTTACAACGCTCTTTGTCTGTGGCTTTCAAGAACTTTCTTGGACTGAAATTTTTTTAGATACACTGCGCATAAAGGTGGATTATTAGCACAGCTTTCAGAAGGATAAAAAGGACATGACCGCAGGGCTGTATGACCACTTCCTTTTGGGCTGACATCCCTCTCCATCCAAACCGAGTTATCAAGACAGGACAGCAGAATCAAAATCTCTCATCAAAACAGGCCCAGTCAAAGTTTTCTTTCCCCTTTCCCCGCGTACAGCATTGAGCTAGAGTCCTCCTTCCTGCTGCGTTGTTTTCCTCAGCACGCGAGGCGGTCTTTCTACTCCCCGTTGAGGAGCCGCTTGCAATCTCTATAGACAGTCTTCCCAGCGCATGAACTCCGTTGTTTCCCCTGGACTCACAGCTTTCTGTAGACGAGGTGGTGCAATGGAGGCCCTGTATCCGAAGAAGACACATCGCAGTATGTATTAATAGGCTTTCCCGGGTGCTAGAACATCCCTACCGTTTTCTGCTTCCGTAGTACTTCAATGAGACTGACAACAAACATGCCTAGGATCCCGATCTTCCAAACAGAAGTCCACTGAGACGATTGGGAGCATAGTTCCTGGTAGAGCTCCTATTTTTTTTGTTACGACGCGGTCTGGGTCCATGGACTCTGATATCTGTGCCAAGGATGATGATATTGATGAGAATGGTGATGGTGAAGATCATGGGCTTGTTGTTGCAGCTACCACCACGTCACCAACAATAGAAAACAGTGACATTCGTCTCTCAGGCAATGAATTAAAACAAGCAGGCCTGATGACAACACCAGCTGAAGGAATTCCTGTGAAGAGTTGTTTTCAAAAGCAGTGTACAAAACAACCTGCTGTCCACACTAACAACCCTTCTTCTATAACACCCCCTGAGACTGTCTCCTCCCCGTGCGAAATTTCTCCCACTACCAACAGGGAAATTCCTACTATATGCCCTCCATCTTCTACCTTCACTACGTCTGAGCCTACTATTGCCATCCGTTCAAGACCATCTTCCGCTGAGATTACGGCAACAGAGAAACCAATCTCCAAGCCCACGCGCTCAGCCAGGTGCGGTTCTGAACATACAACCCGCGATTCGTCTTTTTGTCAATCTCATTTTCGAGCAGCGAGGTCACGGAAATCGAGTGCAGAGCTAGACGACATTGATAACCTTCCTTCTTCAAGGCCAATCTCCCTAAGTTCATTCGCTGTTCGAACACATAGTCGGAACAAAGGGTCAAAATCGTGGGTACCATTCAGTCTCGAAGACCTAGACGAAGATTCAGACGAAATGGATCGTCGAAATCCAAACCATGGCGCAAGGCTACCTGCTCCAGTTTTTACTCCCAGCGCAACTGGTGTTAGCCATCCGCTCAGGAATGTTACAACAATCGATCCGAGGTCGAATATGTTTGGCTTCCATGGGATCTCGCCCCAGCGTGCTCCTCAATGGCCTCAAGGAATACGACAACAGCCGCACCTAGGCCAGAAAGAAACATTCGGATACCCTCAACAGAATTTGGGTACTAACATCCCTCACCAGAACCCTCGACCTACAATCGTGCCTCCTACAACCAATGCCACTCCAGGAACTGGTCCACGCATAATGGTTCCTGACGATATCAGTCCTACCAAACAGGAAGAAAAGCAGGCATTGAGAGCTTTACAATATAGTATGGTGGCACAAATATATCTCGAAACAGGAAACTACCCGCAAGGATCTACTGGTAATCCAAATAGTCAAGCGCAAAATATGTGTCATCCAAATTGTAGAAGATGTGCTGGGTACCATGGCCAGATGACCGGTCATATCGATCAGGACCGTTCGTTGAAACCACCTCCCATGAATCGTGAGCCAGGTAATACCTATTATTCTGGATTCGGCCCTGGCCAGGTACAACCTTCTTGGGTTCCTAATATGTTTTCAGAAGCTGTAACTTCTTGTGCTACAGCAGAATCATGCCAGGACACTGATAACACAAAAAGTGCCTCAGTTTCACTTTCAAGCCAGTTACCCTTATCTCTAAAGCCTCATGCTTCTCATCAAACTAATGTCGGCACCTCGCCTCAACGCATCAATTCGGATCAACCATCCAACCCCAAGCTACACGACGCTGCGAAATATTTGAATAATGCCATAACGACTTCCCAAACTACGACTGAAAACAATCGCGATCAAGAATTTCAAATCGAGTGCAAAGATTACGTGGGCGAAATCCATTCTACACCCCTAACCGCAAATCCACTAAAATCCTCCCGCAAAGCTCTCCAACAAGATCCATCCCTAGCTAAGAATGTGGCAACTCCACAAGCTCAACGTACACCCAACAATGGGCAAATACAGGGAGGTTTGCCAGACCCCAGCCGTATATCAACCTCCATGCCCTTAACATATGCTTCTTCCGACCGTCCAACGAGCGTGAGTCCAGTATTTGCATCTGCAATTGCCAACAGACCCGAAAGTGATGAGGTTCTCTCTAAATCGACTAATTCATCACAGTCACGGTTCAAGTTCAAGTTTCCCCCACCCGGGCTACCAATTCCACCAAGCATTCAAGGAGGTTTGGTTGATAAACACGCCGGGAAAGGGACTCCTATCTCGAGACTCGTTCGGTCTAACATCTGGTTCCACACAGATGCTCGAGGTGAGGATAAGCTTCGTCAGCGTATAATTGAAATTGCGCGAGATGAGGCGGAACGTCAACGGACTACAAGGATGCCACTTCGGCCTGGCGAGCGGGAAGGGGTGGCTGAAGCCGGAACTGTTTTATTGGGGCAAGCTCTCGTCAATCTGCAGTTATATACCCTGAATGGCTCTAACCAAACCAAAGGCTTTGCGAACTTTGGGCCTGCACCACAGTTTTGCTATGAACCTATACATAGTAGTCGCAAAAGTTTTCTTGACCTAGATCCTATAACTGATCCTTGGAAATTGCCCCCGCCCCGCCATCCTTTGTCTAAAAATCCGCTCGTTGCGTATGAAGAGAGCAATGGAACCGTAGAGAGAGGGTAAAGGTCTCTAGGGGAACATGTAGAAGGCGTGAGACCGTGGCCTTCTTGGAGTTAGTAGCAAGCACCGTTATTGTTGTTTGGAAAATTGTCTTTCTTCTTGCTTTGTCTCTGGGGTTTACATTTGGCAACAATGCGGCGTGCAGTGCTTTCTCTAAAGAATAGGATTTCTTATTTTCCCTTGCTTCAAAGCGACAATAAATTTGCCTTCAACTGGGCGTACGGACTGGGTGCAGAGGGCTGTTAATGATGAATAGGGATGTTTTCATTCTCTTTTTTTCTTTTCTTCTTCTCTCTCTCTCTCTCTCTTTTTTTTTTTTTTTTTTTTTTTTTTTTTTTTTTTTTTTCCCTTCTCTTTACACTTTTCTTGTATTGCAATTGGTCAGGCATGCATTAGGGAATAGGACTGGAAGGGGATATTCATGCACACATCGGACAGCACAGCACGGGATACACTGGTTTTGCAGCTTCTAGCAATAGATTTTGATCGAGATATTCCTCAAAACATCCCTGATATTGTTGTTTACAATTTTCTAGTACTCCCCATCAGTTTCTACCTTTTCACTTACTACTTACCTCTTCTCTAGCTTCATTGATCACAATTTTCGTTCTTCATCCCGCTTTTGTTTTACCATTTGGCTTTCCTATTACCACTAGCTACAAATGAAGGGAACTAAAGATTCGACCTCGATGTCATGATGGGCAGAGAGCATTCAGCGACCCTTAGACGAGCTCGGTGATGGATTGAACTGGGGAAATTCACTTTTGAAATTCGTCTTCAGAGATCGAGTGTATGGCATGACCTTCTTTCTCCTACTGGGGTTTCTGACATATTTTGTTTCGTATTATTTTATAATACGGGACAAGTTGAGAATGTAAGCCCAATATTAAGAGTGAACGTTGATGGCGGCGTTGTGATGTGTACATACTGTGTGATGTGAGGGAAGAACTGGAATTTCAATTAAAATTGAATCATATCTGCAGCCAGCTCTGTCTGTACAGATACCTTCACAAAACATGAAAATTAATAATAATAATAAAAATAAATTCACTGGACCATCCATGGAAATGGAATATTTTAACAGTAGGGAATGGGATCAGAGAGAGACGGAGAACAAGCAAGCGTGTACAAATTTAGCAATGTGTCATGAACAAGGAGAAGAAGACGAAAGGAAGGGAAAAGAGAACAGTGTCAATGACGATGGGGAATTAAGTATCCCTTGTAAAAGGTAGCATACTGCGGAGAAAAATGGAAAATGAAACGAATCGCTGGTTGAAATGGAGGAAATACAACTGTATGCCATTAATATAACGCAATTCAGTACCCCACACCCCCCTCGCTTCGTGGCGCCTGGTAATAATAAAAGGGGATTATTTTACTCAGAAACATGTGATAAGAAAGAAGAAGGAAAACCCATTTATTTGCAATATAGAGTAATATTAGTGAAGTAATGCGGGGTGGAACACCTAGGCCATGAGGAGAAGAAGAGGAAGAAAAAAATAGAACGTGATTAAAAGTCTCGACTCGATGGACAGCCAAATGGTTGCTTTAGCATGAAACAAGATTGATATGGTTATCGCTGAGAGCCGCACAAGCAAGGATTGTCCTGTGTGGGTGGAAGGCTGTGCTTATGATTGGCGAGGATCGGTTGGAGTGTAGAAAACTAACGTGAGGCTCATAGGTAGAGAGGTAGGTGCCATCGGTATTGAAGGTTTTAACTTCATGGCGGTTGGTGCCACTATGGGATAGACCGATCGTGTCAGTTTTGTCCAGAAGATATAACCAAGAATGAATAAAGGGATAACTCAGGGGACACTCACATATTGAAAACAGGTGCATGTTCATGCACGGCTAAGGTCCGCAGGGTGTCCCTAGTGGCCTGGATCATGTCTATTGACGTATCCATTCGTAAGTCCCAAAGACGGACCTCGCCATTTCGGCTACCAGAAATCAGCTCCCTAACTCCTCCGCGTTGCATATGGATATTCGTGATCCATTGTTTGTGTTCTCGCCACACTTTAACCATAGCCGTTGTGGGTTTCAGGCGTTGGTCAAATACTCGCACGGCACCGTCACCAAATCCGGCGATGAAAATATTTCCAGCAACCTGGTCGGATGTCAAGGAGGTTATACAAGAACCCGAGCGTGCAGATATATCCTAATACAAGTTAGAAGCCTTGCACTTAAATTTAGATCGTAAAAATAGAAACTCACGTTAGTGCAAACTTCAGTGGCGGCGTTCCAGACGCGAATGACTTTTGTGTCGCCGGCAACAAGTGCTTTCCCTTGCCCCTGTTGCCAGTCGAAAACCAAACCCGCATTTTTGTTGCTAGGGATCAAGTCAGGGAGGGCACGGAAGGCTGTTACAATCTCAACGTCTGAGCCGGATTCATATCTGCGGAATATTTTCAAAACACCGTCTGAGGAGCCAGTCATTAAAAGAGCTTGGTCGTCTTCGTTGATGAATCGTATTTCGTTGATTCTCGACCCTAATGGGTTGCCATTGGAGAAGCGGCTGAGACGTGATTGATTTTGCCAATCCCAGATACTAATTTCCAGTTAGTGAGCCACCTCCAAGGTCTGACTTGATTAAAAGCACATACCAGACAGTATCTCTATCGTCAGCTACCGCAATGTGATCCTCAAATTGGTGGAAACACATTTTCGTTGGTTGAGTCGGATTGCTCAGAAGAGCAGATGAGGTGTCCCAACGGTTAGTTCCTGCCCGTTCTTTTAGCGGTTGAGTATCCGTAATGATTTTCTCATTTCGGCCTCGCCTCCAAAGACGTTCATTATAATCCGCGCTGCCGGGTTCATCTGATTCATTGGGCTTCATTTGGGGCTCGCGAAAGTACTATCCGCAATGTTAGAAGAATCCGTTCACCAAGTAAAATTTATAAAAGTGCTGAAAAACGTTGCAAAAGGGATTAGCTTACCTCAGTTGACCAGTCTAAAAACTTGCTTTCCAGGGGAATGGTAGGACTGGCTGTCATATCTCTTGGCTGAAAGCCCCGGGATAGCGGGATACGCGCTTGGCGATACGACCCCGATGTGGCTGGTTGATCATTAACCTCAGGAGGTCGAGTCCATTCAGCAGGCGCCCGACCCCGTGGGGTGATAGGGATCCGACGTTTCACTGAAGCTGATCTATCAGGCGATCCAGGGCGTTCATTGGTAGTACCTGAGCCAAAAGCTAGATTTTTCAAGGACGTAGCTACGCTAGCTGTTCTTCTCAAACTAAGAGATAGATATCCTTCAGCCTTCGGTGCTATGTTCGACTGGGCTGGTGGCATAGTGGGCGGTCGCTTCATATCGGCCTGTTCCACGCGCCGAGTTTTATTGACGTGGACACGAGAGAATAGTTTCAGAATTTCATCTCTGGCAGTTTGAGCTAACGCTCGCATTGGAGACTCCATCAGGGATTTATGAATATAATCGACAATAATGTCAGCATCCCGGGCGATTTCGGGGTGCGGATCGACCGATAGCATGAGGACAAGTTTCCAGATTGAGCCAAATATCGTGTTATAGGACACTCCATTTTCGTACGGGAATGGTGGCATTTGGATATGCTTGTTGGCAGGCATTTGATATAAAAGAATGTGACGTTCCTCAAGAAGCTGTTCATATGCAGCGACGAGGAATTTGTTCTGATATCGTTTCACAAATGTCGACAAGAACACTAAAAGCTCCTTTCTTACTAACTCACTTCCATCAGAACCCATAGGCATCACACTGAGTGCCAAATATTCCTCAACCTGAGCCACTTGATCGGTCAAATCAGGGATTCCAATAAAGCTGGTTAAGGCGTGTAGCATCGCAGCGCGTACCTCTGGGACAGGGTCCAGAGTTAGTTCGCAGAGTCTCGATGGTGCAGAGCATCGAATACCAACCCATTTTGCTTCGGGAAAATCAAGCCAAAGCATGCTTAAGCAGAGACACGACCATTGGCGCAGAAGTGGATTTTCGACATCCATCAAATGGGTAAGACAAGCTTCGAAAAGCTCGGGAGCAAGACAAACATTTTGCCCTTGGGGGTAGTATTTGCAAAATATTGCAACAATGAATGCGCACATAGCACGGTGTTCGCTAGCATTACCGACAGGAATGGGCGACGAAGGGCTGAGTATGTTGATGAAATAGTGAATTCCATTATCCTTGAGCAAATCATTCTGGACAGTATGGTCGACAGCCATGATCCTAGCCCAAATAAAAACCATGACAGGTTTAAGCTCTTGGGCGGTACTCTGTAGAAGTTTGACTACATATGGAAATATACCGATGCTCAGAGCTAGATGAACTGCCCACGGTCCTAGGTCAAGAAATTTGCTGAGCAAAATCAATGCACGAAGGCGATGAGCCTGGCTCAACAACACTTGCAACACGATTGGAAGTTGATCAGGAGGCGTCTTCTCTGTCGGGCCTGATGAAAGGTAAACTTCGAAAGCAGTGAGTTGTTCAGCGAAGAATGATGAGTGCTGATAATCATAATGCCGCTTGCCTTCCTCATGCTCAATGAGAGCCGGGAGCTGAGCAAGGACCATCTCGATGGCAAGATCCCAGCTTTGCCACAGAGGGTGCATGTGAGTTTCGGGTAGCTTGGGTGAGGAAATTGGGTGACATTCATGAGCCCTCATAATCCGTTCGGCGAGTAGGAAATTCCTAAACAGGGCAGCAACCATGAGATCCTGTCTAAAAAGTTTCTTGAATAGTGGTCTAGGAAGGGTATTCCAAGCAATCGTATCCGTAATTGCGGTAAATATCCAATTCAATTCACCAAGGGGGCTCCTTCGGTCTTGGAGACGTCCAGGCACTCTGAATTCGTCGATGGATATGCTGGTGTGCAAAGGATTCTGCAGAATAAAATATCTCAAGGCAATTTCGATGGGAGTTGTTAAGCAACAGGTGAAAAGGTCAGCAGGGAGGTCGGGGTTAGTTGGAAGGGTTTCGGTTCTCTCGCAAGCGGCGAGTAAAATACAGTCGCCATAATTCTGAATAGGTGAATTTGGATCTCGTTCACGAAGTTCGACGTTCTCTTTCTCATGCTTCTCTACGAATGTTTGAAAGTTATGGACGATATTGCCCGCATGAGAAACGTCGAACACGAACAAGCTTGGCCCGGCAAGCCAAGTCTGCAAATCGTACAATGAAACCGGGATATATTGGGTATAATTCTTGTTAAATACCCAAAGCTCCCCAGATTTGGTTGGTAAAGGGACACCATGTCCATTGTAATGAAAAAGCACCCGCTCGTCTTTCGCGTTACGGCGAAGAGAGATGCAGAATTTCTTCGTCTCATCGACGGAAGGGTCCAAATATTGCTTATAGCGTGTACGAAGACTGAGGGTTTCATATTGCTCTTGCAGCTTCTTCCCAATTTGTTCCATCACCTTGTTTTGTGCTCCTGTAGTAGATGTTGGGTCCACCCAGCATTCCAGCTTCGCGGTGGGGTTGGTCTTCACTACATCTGGCGGGTCGACACCAATGTTTAGGCAGATGGCCAGCGCGGCGGAAACAGTTTTCAGTCGATCTCTCATGCGCCAGTCTTGGCTCGGCCAGCTACCAGCTGGGTCCTTCGGTATGCCATTAGTTTCATGCCGTTTCTCCTTGAAATACATATAAAAGCTCTATGCATCCTATAGTTAGAAATCCTCTTAATGAGAGAAGAAGAAAAAAACCGCGATACGTTAATACTCACGGAATTGAGGATCTTTAGATATTCACTGGAAGTATACTCTTCATGCCAACCGTGTCTTAACTGGAAATCCTCATCGTCACTATTCGGAGCCCCATTCTCCACACCGAACTTGGGGAAGTGTTCGCTCTTCGCCCGGATGAGAGCGGGTGTCGGGCGTAGGTTTCTTTTTACCACGGCTGATGCAGGCCCATTATTTCCATCCGCGCTACTGGAAGGAGCTTGCGAGGAATCCGGCCTTCCATTACTTTGAAGCTCCTCGATGACGGTTGTCTTGGACCGCGGGTGGCTGAGTGTAGAAGGGGATGGTACATCGTTTGACGGAGGTATATACTCGTCGACCTGTGGACCGAAGGCGACTCGGACCGACTTTCCTTGCCCACGCGGTTGTGGGCCAACACCTTGTGCCATATTGGGAGACGTCTGCACTGGCGCAGTTCGATCCATGTCAAAGTTGAGGTCCTTCCTCAAAGGAAGCCATTCATGGCTTCAAGCTGGTTGCAACGGCTTGCATTCGATGAAACAAAGAGAGGTATTATTGCGACTGGCAACGGCTATTAAGCTGATATAAATGTATTAGAACCTGCATTATTATTTTGATAGCGACAACGTCCCACAACCAGAGCGCCGTTGCCTTGCGCCGGAACTCACCATACGGGGTTGCACCAAGGTGGATATAATCACAACCATGGACGTCTGGTCAAAGGCCAAAACAGCGTTAATAGGAATGAACATTAGCAGAGGAGCACATCCTGAGCCTCTGACATTTAAATTTTATTGTAGATCTGCCTCGGAGAAACAGAACCTACGTTGTCCTGGGAAGTCTGGCGTTCTATATCTTCTGGTCTCCTCGACGCCATCCGCGACCGGGGGTTGGCGGCGGAATAATTATTACCCGGTAACTAGTTTTTACTTGCTCTCGCTAATTACACCGTTAAGCGCCAGACGAGGAGCCGCTTCGCTAGCTTTAGTCAATTCAATTCTCATTCACAGGAAGGAATCGGCACCGCTTGCAAGCTTAGATGGCTCACACAGTAGCTAACCTACGCAGTGCAATTGAAATTCATACCCGTGAAGGAGTTCTGACTTAGATTCGAAGTCGACAGATACCCGCCTCTAACGAGATATGCAATTCCCTTGCGTGGATCTTCCATACCTCACTTGCGACGTATTCCCTCATGTCCGGAGTAGGAAGTTGATCGCGGCATTCTTGGATGGCTGGGACAGCATATGAGCCGATTTCGCCTTCGCTCACATCCGATGTTTGCCAGAGCGTCAATTGAATGGGGATGAGACTTAATCATATTTCACAAGATTTGCTTTGTGGCCATTTAACCCTCTGCAACTCGTTCATCACGAGCAGGACACGAACGAGTACAAGTAAGACTGACACCCGACCCTGATTGAGGTGCAGGCATTACTGCTATTGAAGAGAGGACGACTGACTCCGGCAAACTCCGTGTCAATCGTATCTGCGGGCAGAAAGCAGGCTGGCCAGTTAATGCTTTGGAAATGCTCCTCTGAACTCACATTATCCAGAGTTCGACCCGCCCCTTCGCTTTTTGCAGACGGAGACATCTTATGATATTATTGTATGTACATCTAAATTGTTAAGAACCCCTTAGTAACCCGCTCTCAACCTTGGCTCTTTTGCTCTTATCAACATGGTATTTATTATTGAGATCTTGGACGCGGTAACTGGCGGCAACTTATCATCAAGAGAGAGTTTGTCAGCACATTCAACACAAGCTTTGCCCAGGCAGTTGCTATAAATGATAGAAGGATAGAGTACATTGTCTTCTGCCTAACATGAGGTATGTTTTGTTGGACAGTGGACTGGTAGAGGCTACAGCACGGAGAAGAATGGCAACTTCCCACTCCTCTTTCTTCGGAGAGGGCAACTATTAGTATATAGCCTATTCAATCCTGACTTCATGCCATGGCAGATGATTATTGTCCTTGCTGTCGTTTGGGTTACCCCCGTGTTGATGAGCAGATTATATTACGTCAATTTTATATAGTTAGCTTAATCCCTCGATGTTTTGGATCAATCCCAATTTCAGTTTCAAATCTGCAGCCGGGTAGGCAATCAGGCGACTTTATATGTATAAGTAGCTACACTGATTAGAAGAAAGAAAGCTCTTTGGAATGTTTCGATACTCGCTGTTCCACTCAACTCCGTTCTTTTTGCATAAAACGTAGATCTATAATTTCATGCCTTCCCCTTTATTTGCAGCCATTTCTTCTTTTTCCACCCTCTCCTCCTACTATCTTGTACTGCTCTATCTTGCATATATGTTGCAAACAGGTTGGTTATCCAACACTTGAGTACAGCACTCCCCCGTGGAGGACAAAGTACGGAGAATCTTGTACTACTTGAAAACCTGACAGAACCAGTTAAGTTACCGTATTCAGGGGAAGAGGCAGGTTACTTTTGCATTTTCAGGTTCGAAAGCGATTCACTCGGGCATATTCTGAAACGCACTTGGATTACTCTCCAGAACACTCAATTTTATTCCCCAGGGAATAATTTGGGCATTTACTACTATGGTAGATACTGCATATCTAGCTACATTTATTTCCCGGATTCATGATATTGATATGCCACTTTCTACCTGCCCCGCGGATCTTGTAACTTTTGTCACTTGTGCTTTTGCCCCAATTACATGTGTTGGTTGGACGGAGAATATATGAACAATCTGGGTAACAGAAAGGTATTCTTTTGTTCTCTCCTTTATCAGCGATATAAACACAGAGCTCAGCTTTCTTTGCTGGTGCTTCGGAAAATGTCCACAAGGCATTCCTTGCTTCCATGGAACACCCACCCGCCTTAGAACATCAAGGGCCGTCTAGGGCGGCCAGCTGCGACAGGGGGAAGAAAATTTATCACCAACATCGCATTTTAGTGTATGTCAATCAACCCCCCCCCTTTTTTTTTTTTTTTTTTTTTTTCCCCTTTTGACAGTGTTTTTCTTCTGGCGCCCACCAGGTAGTTAACTTAACTTACGACAAAAAAAAAAAAAAAAAAAAAAAAAAAAAAAGCACCCAGAAGCCAATCAGGAATGGCAAAATATTCTTCTTGTTCCAGCGCCCTTCTTTTTTTTAAAAAAAGCAAGATAATAGACATGATCCCTGTGAGGTTGCAATGCAGGTATGAAAGCAGAGTATTCCGTAGTTACTGTCCGTTCAAGCAGAAATAATAGCTTCTGCCCCCATCCGTAATCGTATGCCCGTTGAATATTCATGCGCCCCCAGCCCCAGTCCGTTTAAAATTGACCTTGATATGGGTCCACGCATCCCCGGTGCGCATCCAGACCCAAGAAAGTTGCGGAAGGATATTTCGCCAATTAGCTCAGAAAAGGACAACAGAGCGCTTGGCTTAACTTACCGCCAAAAGCACCGCCAGCAGCGTGAACCGGCGACTTTATATACAAGGTAAAGCATCTATTTGTGTCCAGCGCGCGTCTTCTCGAGGTTTCTAGGCCTGCCTGGGAACTACCTTCGTAGTTTCCCACCGTCTAGTAGTATTAAGGTAAAACATCCTGTACGGTGCACAGTTTTGAAAGCTGTTGAAGCCGTGACCCAACTTGTAAGGTGATAACTACCCAAAGAATTAGTGAAGCGTATTAACTAGTTACCGTGTCGATGTTATTATATATACGCACAATTGCTTCGGTCGATAACTATCAAGACGACATTGCTTGTGGAAAATATAGAGAGAGACCTGAGAAGGGATAACGGAACCGCATAGGGCGGGTATCCAGCAATTGTCTTGCGGGATAGTTTATCTGACAGCGTTAGGCGGGTACTGTACTGGTACCTCATGCACAGGGGAGGAGCTTGGTGCGGTCGAGGTATCTGGCTGGTACCCACAAGTCACAAGAGTCCCCCCAAGGAGCGGCTCACTAACTTAGGTAACTAGGCCTGATCAGGGCGGGCTTGGCGCCCCTGAGCCCAACCAACTTCTTTTTCTCGCCCAAACCAACAACCAACGGCGGACGGGAACCTCATCTTGAACCTGACATTGAGCAGGAACATGCTGTTTCTTCCTCTTCGTCTCTGACTTTGGCAAACAGCACCGGACTCGCCGTGCATCTACTTGTCGGGAGCCCTTCAACCAGGCGAGTTCTCATGATTGCGTGACGAGGGCCCCTTTCATACCCTCTCTTGTCTGTTGGGTTCCCTGTTGGCCGCGTTGCCGTTACTTGATGGTCCTTTTGCTCACCCAACCTGCCCGTCCCCAAGACGATTTGCTTTCATTCGCTTTGCACTCCCTTTGCCCTTCGACGGCCGCGACTCCTGTCGACTTGACCGCTTGGTAGCATCCAATGGTCTTGCTATTGGCATTTACTCGTGATTTCGTCGACTTTTCCTGACGACCGGTTTTGGTGGCTCAGGAACGCGCGTGGTCAGTGAACCTTGGTTGGACCCTCCAAAAAAAGTTGGAGCCGCAAATCCAGGAACCAGCACGACCCATTTCGCCGGTATTATTGTATGCTCAGACACCCCCCTTCCCCCCCCCATTTTATCTTTTATCCTTTATCTGGGAGCGGACAGTCTGCGATCACTGATGACGGTGGACTCATTCGACAATATGCTGACAAGAGGGCACGTACTATATCAGCGCCTTTTGCTCTCGTTCCCACAACGGCACCCATTTTCATTCGCACGTGCACCTTCCGCACGATTCGCCCCTAACGAAACCGACTCGTTGTCTTTTGCCCGGCGCACCACGTTTTTCGACGACTACTGGTTGCCATTATCATTTTAATTCCGACCTGACGTCTCCCTTGTCATCGTTTTCTCCCCATCTCGGACTCTCACTTTCCCTAGATACCTTTACGTTGAGACGCTCTCTCTTCCTACCCCATTATGGCATTCCTATTCAAGTCGAAGAAAAGCCAGGCCGCAAACAATAACTTGCCTCCAGCCACCAGAAATATTCATACCGCCGAAGGAACGCCCCAAGGTTCCTCAGCAGCGCCGCCCAATGGTGTTCGGGATGGTGGACCGGTGCAGTCTCCAGGTTTTGGGAGTGCGAGCAACTCCTTGAACTCTATGAGCGGCACGGTTAGTCCAGATCAATCTAGGACACGCAGAGATAGAGCAGACTCAGAGCCCCAGGTATGCTGTCCCCCGGCTCCTCTAGAGAAATTATCGCCTTTCCACAAGTAGCTTTGTGTGTCTCATGCACTATCGCCCATACTCTTACTACAAGAGAGGCTGGTCCATACCATAACTAACCTTATGCTGGTCAGGGTCCACGAACACAGATCCCAAACGGAAACAACACACCTTCACCGGTTCCAAATCCCGCCCTGTTTCCATGGTCGCAGCGGCGAATAAACTTCCCTCAAAATTCCCGACCTTTTCCACGATATGGCGCCGCAGTTAATGGCGTAGCTTCGAAAGAGGGTGATATTTACATGATGGGTGGCTTGGTGGGAAGTGCAACTGCCAAAGGGGATTTATGGATGGTGGAAAATAATGGAGGGAACTTGTCCTGCTTCCCTATCAACCCTGTGACTGAAGGGCCTGGTCCTAGAGTTGGACATGCAAGTTTGTTAGTTGGAAACGCATTTATTGTGTTTGGAGGAGATACAAAAACGGAGGAGAATCATTCATTGGACGATACATTATATTTATTAAATACTTGTGAGTTTCTCTGCTCCTTGATATTGATTGCCTTATTGTTTTGGTTTCCTAGATCGCTCATTACTACTCCAGCATCTCGACAATGGTCTCGTGCTGTCCCTCCCGGACCCCGACCTGCAGGCAGATATGGCCATACGTTGAATATATTAGGCTCAAAGATCTATGTTTTCGGTGGCCAGGTGGAAGGCTTTTTCTTCAATG